AGCTCTGAACTCTAGCGGGGGGGGGGGGTTAAAGGTGTGTGAGGCATCCTTAAAGGGTCCCTCTGGGTTCCTGTGATGGAGAGCGAAAGGGGAAGAAGCTTTTTAAGAATCATCCCCCTGATTGCCTTTTGAGAAACAGTATCACTGGCTATTAATATTATTTGAATTGTAAACTAAACTGCTGAAATCCAGAACAGGATGCGGGGAGTCTCCAGTCCACAAGAGCCACTTGTGTAAATATGTCACTGGACCAAGTCCAAGGTGCCAATAGCTCTGTGGCTCCCAACGGCTATCTGGTCTGTTATTTCAACAGCTTCCTCTCCCTGGGTTTCTCCACTACCTCCCTGGGAAGGCACGCTTTTGAGATGTGAGATGGGAAGCCGGAACATTAGCCCTCTGGGGTGGGATTCTAAGTCTGGTCTTAACTTGGCACCTCGGGATCCTGCTGCAAAAGTCTCAGGGATTGGGAAGCAATTTGGTAGTGAAGTAGCCATGACGTAATGGTGGGGAGATGGTGTGGTCCTGGTGTTCGCTGTACCTGGCTGGCATCGGATTATTCCCGTCGGTTATGCCTCCTATGTCATTGTGTGTGAAAGTACATTCCCCACTGGAACCGGGGAAGAAGAAGGCAAAGGCTGCCTACAAGGTAGCACTTCACTTTTTATAAGCAGGGACTCTTCTAACATTAAAGAAATTAGTAAGAACTGACATTTTGCCAAGAATCGAAAGCCGTCATAAGAGACACTGGACAATGCTGGTTTATTTGCCTCCCTCTGGGGAAGTCAGTGCCGGGCTAATCTGTACACTCTACCTGGATACTGAGATACTAGCTGCTGCTTGAATTGCTGTAGTACAGCAACGGGGCTGTTCCCTTTATCTTTTTTTTCCTACAGGCACGCACAAGATTGTGGAAGTGAAAATGACTTTTTGGACCTCTTGGTATCTTTAAAGACACACAAACCTAGCAGCTTCCCTCTGACCTTAGGAGCACACCTGCCCACATCAGGGGTTGCTGGAGGGCAGGAGGAGGAAGGAAGGCCTGGGTTGTTTCTCTCTGTGCCATTGATATTTCTCAAAACCTTTACGAGGGCACTTAGTGATTTTATAATGAGGAGATATGACAGTAAAGGCTTTAGCTCAACTTAACTGTTGGCCACAAGTCCACTTAAATTGATAAGCGTTCATACTGAGGTGATGGTTGAAAACAAGCCCCCCATATAAGCTGGGGGAAGTGCCATATATCTATGTGTAGCATCAGGACCTCAGTCTAGTATGCTTTACATTATATACCTCTTGCCAGGTTTAAGGTTTTGTTTTAGTTTTTGTTTGTTTGCTTCCCGTGGCCTCTGGCCGCATTCTGCTGGAACAGAAACCCTCATCCGAGTCGACCTGGTAGTTGCTTTTGCTATGGCATTTATTTTCCTAAAGGAAAGCGTGGAGTTCTCACAAGATGATTGGAAAGTCTGAGCGCTTGCCTCCCTCATGCTTCTCCCTAATATACCTCCAGGGAGGCTCCCGGAAGCTCAGCTCTCTGGGCCCTCTGACTGCTTTTCGGAATTAGAATTGGTCTTGTGTGTCCTTTTTGTCTGAGTTCATCCCGCTCATGGCGCCCAGACCTTAAGAGTATTTAGTGCTATTGAGTTCTCACTTTTTGAATCAAGGTTTTGGAAGGAAATGAGTATCTTTCAGAATGCAGCTGTCTAACTCATCTTTTAACTAAAGGGCATTATGCACATATTATATGCATGCTGATGTACCTTTAATAATATTAGCCCAAATGGTTATGGGAAAGAGTCACCTTTTCCTCCCTATCAGGGGATCATTAGATCCACTTTCACATTTCTTTTTGTTGTTTCAAAAAATTCTTTTCAAAATGAATTAAGCAGATGCATCCATCCACAGTTGAATGTTTTGTTCCAGCGTAGCAACTGGTGCTGCCTTTTGATAAAGCAAACTTGGGTTTTCCTAGAGGGTTAATGCGGCGTGTCATTTAAACAAAATATGAACTTGCTTGGTACCCTCGGCGAGCTCGCATGGTTGCTATGTAACAGAATCTAGAAAGTGAACTGCTGAAAATCTGGGCTTTCCGCACTTTGCAGGATCTTCTTTCGGAATCTGTGTTGAAAGAACGTTTGGCAGAGAGCCCATCTCCTCTCTCCCTGCTGCGAGCAAGTTGGATAATCCCTAATGAGGGTACTGGCACACAGTGCCAGGGGCATGGGTGCAGGGTGGCACATTTCACAGCTCCAGAGGCCACCCCTTGGCTTGGCGGGGTCACACCTGCCTTTGACGGGTGGCCACAAGGAGGCTTGGAAAAATCAGATCCCTGCATTTTGTTCCCGTGTTCGTCTTGTTGGTAGCCAGAGAAGGGATTTGTTTAAAGTAACGTTTCTAAGCTGTTTTCCTCAGCGTAGTGTCCCTAGGAAAAGTGTGTTTAAAACGCTTGCTGTCCTTTGAAGGGGAAATACAGCAGTTGTTTTTCTGGAAATGTTTTATCTGATGAATGACTAATATTAGATTCAATTGGTTGCTTTGCTGTGCAGAGAATAAACAATGAGACACCATCGTACCTAATTCAAATAGGTGTTAACCGTATATAGCATAACTACGCCCGCCCAGCAGAATGGATGCCTGCTGACATTCGTTTATTGTTGCTGTTGTTTTTAAGGAAATAAATGAATCTATAAGCCGTCCGTGGGGAAGTGCTGAGAGCACCTTTCTTTGGTGCTGTGTGTTTGCTGTGTCTTGCATTTGTTGACAGGAGAAGGGAAGGGCTCCTTCTTCACCTTGGTAAATTTCCATCACTGTGTGCAAGTTCTATTTTTTTCCCCAGGCGTTAAAATAGGCTGTTACTTAAGGTCTGGCTGCTCTTGTCTCCCATTACCACAACACTGGATACTCTTCTGTGCAGTATGAATTACCTCAGGAGTGCATCAAATGTGTGGGTAGTCTGTGAAGACGCCAGACACTGTTGCTTTGCAAAGTAAGTTCTGTCTTCTGACGTCCCCTTCCCAATCCATTTGACCTCCACACTTGTTTTCCTAGGTAGATCCTTATCTTCTTTGTAAGGGAAGCATTTTCACGGGGCAGGGAGTGAAAGTTTCCCTCTGAGCGTCAGACCTCATAAGTTCGCACAGGGTTTGGTTTTTCGGCCATGTCCTCTCCTAAGCTGGTTAGGCTGCCGTGAGCGGGGACTCCCGAGTCGCTCCTGAAAATTACTGCACAGTCACAAAGAGATTACTTACAGATGAGAACAGCATGGATGAAATTAGTTATTGATTGGCTATTATTTACTATCTTTCCATTGTCTTTGGAAATGCCTAAGTCAAGTTCCTGATCCCGGTTAATTTCATGCTTCTAATATTTGTTTCATGACTTTCTGTGGTTTCCTAAAACTCACTTGATGTCACCCAGAAGTCTGAGCCAATCCG